CCCCCCACTATTGTTCTTCGATGAAGCGGTAAGACACCCGATGAAGCGGACCCTGACCATGCTGAAACCATAGTAGACCTCTGCCCTGGATACACACACCGAGCAAGCTTTGCTGGCAAACATCAATGGTATCTTGAGAGAGAAGGCCAGAACCAGCGTATTTGTTGCACACCGGTTGCGGACCATTTTTGATTCCGATTTGATTATTGTTCTTCGGGACGGTCATATGGTCGAACAAGGCAGCCATGAGAAGCTCGTCGACAGCGATGGGCTCTATTCTGAACTTTGGAGCGGTAGGTCACCCACTAGGATCATTTTGTTCCCACTTACTGACGCTTTGCAGCCCAGGAAATGCTGTTCTTGGAGCAAGAGAAGTCACAACAAGAGAATGCGGACGATCAGAAAGTGGAAAAATAGACGATCCGCTCAGAGATCCTCGATATGTAGATATTCCAAGAGACAACCATGATGAAACACTGAATCATTCAGGAATTTTTATATCTATGCATTTGACGTCGTGCTATCGAACAGACATCTGTTTGCATATGTCTGCAATTGACAGTGTGAATGCAGCGGCCCCTACACGGCTCCGGGATTCTCCTCGCTCGGTTCGGCTGCACTTTCCCCGCAGGACCGCAAATATCCTTCCTAGAGCTTCATTCGAAGCCGAGCTGGCATTCTGTTCCTGTTGCGACAACTAATTCGCAGCTCAACACAATGCGAGGTCAGGCTCTACGGGGCTCTGCGTCCCCCAGGCTAGTTGATATTGTAGTGAGACCTACTATACGCCACCGTCGGTGCGTCCACATCAATGCGACTCCAGCATCCTCGAACCCAACATCATCTACAATAAACATACCCGACCCTTCGTCCTCACAGCCAGCACCGGGTGAGCATCTGCGGCGAAGACACATTGATCCATCTTCTTACTCTGAACAGATGCGCAATTCGAAATCCTAGGTAGTCCTTTCTCCCTTTTATCGGCTTCCGTTTCCGCATCGCAACCTTTGTATACCCGGAAAGGCACTCTCGTTGGGTTCAATGGTAAACCTGAAAGCGTAAGCTGCCATAGTGAATTGGGACTTGCAATATCAAAGCTAAAGACGTCCAAGGCCGTATCCACCTTGTCGCTACTCGAGCCCTTCCGGCGCATAGTTTCTGGTGTGCCGTTCCTATACCAAAAGGTCAGCTCAGGCAGACACATGGAGAACCTGTGCAGCAATGCTGACACGTACTTAGATCTCCTCAACCTCGCCTTTCACCGCCCTCATCTCCACAAAGTCTCCGATAACAACATTCACAGTTCTCCATCTCGATGGCAGACTGGATTGGATGGTCGCGCAAAGAAACGCACTGCTGGCTTGGACGGGACATACGTTGGCCATGAAGCCTCAAATCAACACTAGTATGAGCATTGCACATTGGGGTAATACTCGAGTGACCGGTCGAGGGCTGGTGTGCCTCTCTGGCAAGGGCCAGATCTATCAGATAGTGCTCCGCACTGGAGAGGAGTACGTGGTGCATCCTGGGTAAGTGTCCATGCCATCCGCATCTACGCTTTCAGAAGATGTCCTGACTATATCATTCAGCAACGTTGTTGCATACAGTATCATAAAAAATGCCCCACAACCGTACAGATTCAAGTCAAGAAGCATGCGACTGCAAATCCCCAGTCCCAGCACCTTCTTGCCAGATACCCGTTTCTTCCGAACAATGCGAGAGTCGCAATTCTGGCGTTTTCTTGTGGCCTTTGGCTTCACATTGAGGACTTGGGCCAGAAGATCCATATTTGGTGATCGACTATTCTTGAGATTCGAGGGTCCGGCAAATATACTGATCCAGGCTCGTGGCAACAAGATCACCGACACATTGACGAATAGAGATGTCAATGAGATTGCGGACGCGCCAGCTGGAGCCATCCAACAAGCCTCTCAATTAAGTACAATTACTGCCGAATCAGCGAACGCAGCTGCTCCCATCAAACCTATCCCAGCAACAAAGACCTCGTACGCTAGCATAGGGTCTGACGGCAAAGTCAAGTTCGGTTCTTCGCCATAGGCATTGGCATCGGCGTGATCTTCTCGATTGCATTACTTTTGAGCGGAGAATTCATGCTAGATTCTTGTAGAAGAAAATATTACTCAGCCGTTTACCAGTGGTTGGGGAAATGGCATGCTCGGGAATGCGGCCATACTCGATGTATCCTAATTTAGGGTACATCTGCTGCGCTGGGTAACCTTCGGTTGTACCCAATTGCTTGATCTGATTAGTATCTCTCCGGATCATTGTCACGTGGGATGAGCAGCGTACCAGAAGTGTTCTGCCTCTAGACTTGGCCTCGTTCTCCAGAGCCTCCATCAACCTAGTCGCGATTCCTTGTCTCCGAAAGTCGGGACTCACAATGAGCTTCTCAACTTCCCCCCGGAACGATCCAGTTTGGGTGACAGGCATCCTCAGCACCACAACCCCTGCCACCCGGCTGCCGGCGAGCTGCATGATGATGACGGCCCGGTCTTGTCGCACCTCAACAATGTGTTCTTGCCAAAATTTCAGCACAACAGGATCGGTGCCGTCGCTATCCTTATGGAAGGGTGGCAGAAACACCAGGCATACGCCATCCTCCTCGATGCTATGAACGTGGATTCTGGCGATCTCGGCGAGCAGATGTTGGTGTTGGTCGGGATGGAAGATGACAACATCTGCGGAAGCCATGCTCGACACCTGGGTCTATACTACAGTTTATGAAGCGTGACAAAATTACTGGACCATAAAATGCAATCATCTAATTCCGTGAAGATCATTTAGCATCATGCGGGAAATTGTCCGGCGCTGGGAATGCTGCCTGATTCGACAGCTCAGTCGGGATCAACTGCCAGTGTGTGTGATACCCGAGAGCCGCCGACGTCATTTCGCGTGAGAGATCAGGAACATCTTGATTTCTTGGTTGTCAGGCGCTCTAAGGTTGTTTCCAAGGCTCCTGCATCTCATATTGATTGATGGTCTGGATCTCATACAAATCCCGCTTGCCCGGAGTTTTCCTCTTCTCATCCCTTTCCTCGCGTGCCCAGCGGTTTTTCGGCGGTCGTTATTGCATATACTTTTGAGAAGCCATGCGTCACACGCTGGGCTGCTATGCAGCTCTTCTGTCGCTGGCCGTCAACTTGTCGAACGCTGCTCCTGCGCCCACACCCCGTATCGCACCGGAATTGGAGCCCAGGGAGCCAGCCATCACCCCTTCACCTGTCACAGTTGATGTGACCAGGACCTACGAGTATCGAAGGAACATCATCAGCGACCTCGACGGTGATCTTCACTCCATCCTTGCTGGGTTGGGATCCGACATCCCGTCGTGGGTAGCTTCTGGTGTGCCCAACTTCTTCCAAGGCTTTCCTACTGGCGATAGCGTGGCCAGTTCACTCGGCATACAGAGCAGCGAGCTTGCAGCGCTTCCTACCCAGGTTCTCAATGTCGACCCTTACGCCAATTGGACCGACCAGGGCTGGAATGTCCGCTTTCATGGCAACGTGTACAAGCAACCGAACACGTCCACGGAAAAATTGAACGACCTCGCCAATGTCTTCTTGATCGGCACCGACATCCAAGATCTCCCTGCGGATCAACAAGATCAAGCTCGCAATTTGACCGCTGAAATCTTTGTCGTCCAGCAAGGCAACGTCAATGTGTCCCAGATCACGCTGGAGCCTGCTCAGAGTCAAGGATCCAGTGGCGATCCAACCGGTGGTGGAGGCTCGCCTGCTACGGGAGGGAGTCAACAAGTGCAGCTGCCTTACAACACCACTGACGAGGGGGACTTCGACGCCTTCGTTCCAATCAAGAGCAATGGATTGAAAAATGGCAACGAGACGAGCACCATTCAAAAGCTGAACACTTATGTGCAGGGGGCTAGTCTTGGAAATTCCACCGCCTACCTTGTACCGACACAAGGTCTCACCATAGTCAGCGATATCGACGATATCCTCCGCGTGACCAAGATCTACGAGCCCAAAGAAGGACTCTTGAATTCCTTCGCTCGTGCTTTTACTCCGTGGGAGAACATGCCCGACATCTACGCCAAATGGGCCTCGACTGTTCCGAATATGCATTTTCACTACCTCACAACCACTCCGGAGCAGATCACTCGAAACTATATGCAGTTCATTTACGCTACCTACCCTGGTGGCTCCTTCGATACGCGGCCTCTCAACTTCAGCGACGTAGACGCCACATTGTCTATCCGCAAATTCTTGCTGCAGAAGATCTTCCAGACGTTCCCTGAACGGAAATTCATCCTGATTGCCGACACCAGCAACAGCGATGTGATGAAGTAAGTGATATTATTGGGATTTTGCGCTATGATAGATGCTGATTGGCAACAGGGATTATCCCGAAATGTATTTCGACTTCCCCAACCAAGTCCAGTGCATTTTCCTCAGAAATACGACTGCTACAGACTCTGGCGACAAGTTTCCTTACGATACCTCCGGCTTCAAGAGCATTCCCCAGAAGAACTACATGTTTTTCTTGAATGCGGATGACCTCAGCGGCTTGGACATCGCGAATGGACAATGTTACAACCAATCCATCGCTCAAAACCTGACCTTCGGTTATCAAGGAATCCCAGGTCAACACGCCGCTACAGTCAACGGAAGCGCCAACAACCAGACTGGTGCCGCGGCCATGATCTCGGCGGACTCGGTCACAGTCAAGATGATGCTGGCATCATGCTTGGCCATTGGTGCGTTGTTTTCAATGCTTTAGCAGCCACGACAGTCGTGTACTTTAGCCAGTAGCTACATTATAATGACATGCATTCCATGAGATATTCAATTTCACCTGCGATCGTGAAAATCATGGTCTCATCATAGGCCAAAAATATAAACCGTACGCGGCTTTCGAAAAAAGCCAAGAGAGAAATTACTCGCTTGTGTGGGTAAAGAGGTGTTGAGGTACATATGGGTTGTTCATATCTCGTTTTGTCACGTGATGATAACACTCAAAAAGCATCAGTGGTTTAGTGGTAAAATCCATCGTTGCCATCATCAACAACTTCGATGGGCCCCGCGTTCGATTCGCGGCTGATGCATTTTTGCTTCAGTCATACAATGTATCTTTTTATCTTATTTTGAGTCAAATATCTGCGTTGCCTGTATCATTCAGTATAATTTGAGCCAGACCAGAGAGGGTGTACCTCCAGATGTTTTGGCTGGCCAAAGGGGAGAGGCAGTGGTAGATCTGATCTGGTTCACAGTAGGTACTGGAAATCCTGTTATTCACAGAAAGTCGAAGGGGCTTACCTATACGTGGTGTGTCAAATCCAGTCCATTGACAGGTGACAAGGGTCTCCATAAAGGCAGCATGGTCTAGAGTAATTAAAATGCCCAGAAAGTCTATTGCTGCGAGGGGGGCTCTTCCGTAGACAATATCGCGGTCTCTTCCGTGGTTTGGTCCATTTTGCTGGACTACGTTAATCGATAATGAGATCTTTTTAACCATAATTCTTGACTGCGGGTCCCGACGAAGCCTGCGTTTTGACAGATTTTCAACCAATTCTTGGCTAAAGAATCACCGGAGCTCCTACGGTCGCTGCATCAGCAGGAACTGCGGTGATATGTCGTGTGCATACCACTATGGCCCCATTCTCATTCCCTACGCGTTCCTCTCTGAAATTTCATTATCACACCTGTCAGAATTGGTGTGCCTATATATCTCAGACGTTACTTGAGTGCTCGTGCTGTCGCGACTTTACATCAACCACGAAGCTGGGTTCCAACTCGGTCCCGTCCACGTTTCGCACTTTGTCATACAGTCGGAAAGTGCTATAGGTATCGAATCAGCCGTAGCAGTGCTTTCTTCGACAATCATACGCTTATCATATATCCTACTCGTCGCATTGCTGTCGACGCCATCGAGTACGAAAGCCTCGCTAAGACGGTTGCGAGGTGCGGTCCATCGAGCAGAAGCACAAGATCTCTACACTAATGCTGTACTAAGCGGGTCAATTTTGACGGTAAATTACTCGGTAATATCCTTTCACTGTCCGTTACCTGGATTTATCCTCCCTAAGCATTCGATTGGGACAAAAACCTATACTTGTTCCTCGTGGTGTCTGCGAATTTGCCATTTCGCGGACCTTGAAATGCTCTAGAAAATCGTTCCATTATCAAATCAAAGTTACTGCAACGTAAACATACTCTTCCCAGTCATTGCGGTGTTATGATCATACAGAGGAATCTGTTGCGCATGAATTTGGGCCAGGGACGGGCGCGCCCCTGTAGATGGAGCTTGCTCGAAGTTGCTCCCTGGTACAATACATCCACGGCCACTCTGTTGTTTATTCGGTGAAGCGAACAATTGTATCGAGCATTTTCACAGGCACATTATTCTATTTGCGATCTGGCTCAGCCAACGACGTTTTTAATGAGCAAGATATCACTGTGTACAGATGCATTCATGGCATTCGTTCATGTGGGAGCAGGTTCAGCGCGTGTGTTGCAGCGATGGTTCTATCGACTACATCACCTTTGACCTTGAAGAGTAGCCTATGACTGTATTATTTGTATTTGTATTCATAATGAATATTGTCAGTGAGTGGAATTTGGCAGGTAAAACGCTACGTCGCGTGATTCCAATGAGTACAAGTCAAGAAAATGGTTCGCTCAAAAGTGCTTGTTCAGTGCCGAAAACCAGTCATGACAAAAAGTCTTGCGCTTGGGGAGACCTCCTGAACTGTAGGAGCCTTTCCAACGAAGACGGGGCCCAGTTTCCACGAATTTTGGCGACCTGACCTTGCAAGGCTGGGGGATTGCCAATCCACGAATGGCAGTCCCCACTCCTCTCGCAACCAGACGTTACTGTCAGTTCAGAGAGCGTATACGGATGGAAAGTGTACGGCTTTTCGCATTGCTCGAAAATTACAAACTTATATCTAGTTTGCTATGTTTAGTGCTGGGTATGAAAGAATACTCGTAACACGCTTTCACCCTCGGCGGTTCAAATGATTCGCGAATACCCGACTTGCGAGTCTTAAAGCAAAGCGTGGTAAGCCGCCTATATATCGTTGTTAATTGTGCACAACGCAGCCAGATTGAAGCATAAGAGTGTGCTGTGTAGGGCTGAGACTGACATACCGACACTAGTTGGAGACTGAAGACACAAGGATTGTTCCGAGTTTGTGATGAACCCTCATAGCGTCGGCAGTCGTGGATTGAATTTCGCCCTGCCCTTTGGCCCTAGGGCTTGTCAAAGTATTAACGATTCCGGGGACTCACCGTTTTGAGTCTCATTGGAACGGTGTGATTCCCGCTTGATACAGCTTGCATCAGCACGCCATCTCGACTGCAACGCGAATAGCCTAAAGTATTGACCCGATTATGCACTCTGTTGATCTACTGGAATTCTCTTTTCATCTGTTGGCCAGCGTGCCTTTCGTGAATAAGCATGAAAGACAAAGAGCTACCGTCTACGCTTTATTACCGCTTCGAACCCTGTCTTCGAGGTGCCAGCCAAACAAGACCAAGGTGAGTCGTATCGTTCAACACAAAGGTACAAGTCAACCAACTCAGCTAGGTCGCTTTCACTGTTGAAGCAATGACGGCCATTTTATGCGCTCACCACCGAACGAAATCTCTGTATGATCATAGGACTCTCTACCAGGTATATTGGTCTCACCTTTGGCACCGAGATTTTCGGAAGTGACAAATTGCTGTATCTTTCAAATAACTGCAAGCTCAAGCCTCCTCAGCACCATGTCCCTAAAAATATCTCTGGCTTCTTTCTACCTCATATTCCTCATTGAGCCCTGGCAAAGTAATTTAGTCGTGGGCTCTACCGTAACTAATTCCCTAGAATCTGTCAAGGGCTGGCCAGGTATTCGCGTTCCTTCCCATCCTGGCTATTCGAAATCGAACATGCGCAAAACAGACAGGATCTTAGCAATCTGTTTGCTTGCTCTGGGAGGTATTGGCACTCTGGTCTCTCTTGTACGTATGCCACAAGTTTAGTGTATCGATGCTGGCAATAACAAGACTGTCGAAACCAATGAAACCCGCGAAGGCTCATGGTCGAGGAGGGCATTGGTATCGTTGCTACCTCATGTGCTACATGTCGTCGACCTCACTTTCCTCGACCTGAGGAGAGCGTGTATCAAGAACAGGACGTTTCGAGAGAATCGGGCATCGTTCAAGGATCTAAGGAAGTTTATGTCGCTATATCAATTGGACCTCATGCACCCGAAGCAAAAACATGACACGAGGCAGGAGTGTGTGATAGCACCCACGTCACGAAATCTTATGATTGATTATTCTTGTATCAGGAGACAGCAAATCAGCTGGCGTTGACTCGTGAACCTAGTATGCATTCAACATGTCATCTTTCGCTGAAGCCCCTGGAGTTCTAGGTTGAAATGGTAAGCGGACCCAGAATACACGTGACTATAGAAGACTCTTTCATTGTATTAGTATATGATCAATCTCAGCAGACATAGGATCATTCCATGCGTTGCACAGATTGCATAGTGAAAGGACTGCAGTGCCGCCAGCGCGACAAGGTGCTCCACCACAAGCTGTACATTAACAAGTCTGAAATATCAGATCCACAAAGTCGATACTGAGGAATAGCATGCACAGAACACACTGTGAGCAACGACTGGAAAGCCAGACCAGGGATCGTGGAACACACGTGTGGCACTGCGGAGGACTTGCTTTGGAGGCAGCGTAAGTTGCAGTGTCCTCCCCGTCTATCGTCGAGCTCCAGACTAGCACCGCGCGTACAGACTCTAAGGGTGCATCAACCGATCACGATTATTGGATTTATGATGCTGCCTACCTAGCAGGATGCGAGAATATGTATTGCGCTGCTTGACGAGGACCGCTAGAGGGATGTCCAGATTCTTGAGCTCGTCTCAAGATCGACCAAACAGTAGAACAACGACCACGGTGGAGTGGTCGTTGGTGCCTTCGTCGATGCGACTGATCGAGTTGTTGCGGGAACTTTGAACTGTAGGATATCATATCGCGTGAGATCACTCAATATGCAAAGCGTATAGTGGCTTTTGGCAACATGGCGATGTCACAAGGTAGACATCTTCATGCACAGTCATGAAGTCGTGTATCGAATATGACAGTGGGTATCAGAGGTCAGGAAGCTTTACGGCTTGACTTCATATACCAAGACTATCATAGCCAAAGACAACCATTTTTCAACGACGAATGATCTTCGTGCTAGCACGCGATGGCCAACGGTCGTGCTCGCTTGGACAAATTTCTGGCAAAGTTTCAACAAACCTCTAATAAATATTGAGCAAATCTTCAACAAAATTAACGGCAAAGCACTCTACCGAAGACCCACATTCCCACACTTGGCACTAAAGATAGTCCAATGGCGTTCTTTTTGATATGAGCTTAGCCTACTACTATTAGCAGAATGATATCGAGTCAACACGATTCGACCGACAATGTTTCGTTATAACGAGGTTTGGCTCCACCACCAGCTGTGTTTCGTTCCACACTTTCGACTTCATGTTTGCCGTGGTAAGCTCGACTACTCAAATGCGACGGCGCATCGTCAGTCACCTTGATTGTACGCTGCCGGCGATTCTTGCCGGCCGGGTTTGCTGCGGTGGACTTCAGCCACGCGCGACAGCAGCATCGGCAACCTACTGGACTTGCTTGCGCGGCTCCCTCTCCGTAGCCGTCCCGTGTAGCCAAATGCAGCCATTTTTCTATAATTTTAATTTCCATTTGGGTATATTAAAGCTTGCAAACCCCAACTTCCAGCAGCCGTCGATCCGTCTTCTGCCTGTTTCGGCTCTCGTCAAGCGCGCACTTTCCTGCTCTCAATCCATTCCTTACCATAAAAGTTCACATGTCGAGACAGCTTTGTCAAATTATTCTGCCTTTACTCGCAGCAGTCTGCATGCTGTCTTTATACTGCACATGGTGAAATTCTGTACTTTTCATCACTAGGAAAAGTAATATGTGCTCTCGAATCATGTACTACGCCAAAAGAACGTCGAATAATATACCACATTACTTGTCATGGGAATCTCCAGGAATCTCTAGATAAATTCAATTATAGCACAATGAT